CACTGTATTGCAAAATGTCATATGGTATTTTTACGGAAGCTCGCAAGGCGCCCTGGCAACGACCCGGTGCGCAGCTCCGTCTTCAGCCTGGCGGCATTGAGCTCCGAAAGCCGACAGGGACCCGCAAGAGAGGACGTCCCCTCCAGATGTGGGGTAGCACGGTGATGAACAGTTTCATGAAGGTCGCTGGCTCCCACGACCGCCTGGCTGAGTTCTTCCGGCCGAAGGCTGGTGCAGGCGCAGAGTGGGAGGCAGCTGTCAGATCATGGCACAGTTGACGCATCGTGGCTCCCCCTCCCCTCCCTTCCTCACACAGACAACCACATCCAGCAGCTGTACGACACCACCAGCGCTCTACTCCGCGAGGCCCGCTCCCGACGCATGCGCACCATCTTGGGTGCCGACTTCAACGCTCAAGTTGGCTGCGGTCCTCTTCATGGCGATGCCGACTCTGGAAAACAGCGATCTGACGTTTGCTCTCGATACGTGGGCCCCCACGGCTTTGGCGACGAAAACTCCAGAGGCCAATGATTACGACATTGGGCCGCCAACGAGCGGCTTGCAATCGTGAACACGTTCTTCCGCAAGCCTCAAGACAAGCTGATTACCTACACTACAACGGGTGGCAAACCTAGGCAGTATGATTACATATTGGTGGACAGATGATTACTACCAGCACGCTGGAATGCCAATTTCAGCAACATTGTTGATCTCAGCTCTGACCAAAAGCCGTATCATTACACATGCTTCTCAAATTGTTACAACCCAGTGCAAACCAACAGTCAGCACGCCCGAGGCCGACCAGACGCTCCACCAACCAACAATGGGAGCACACGGACCCAGACGAGTACCGAAGGCAATTGAGAGCCAAACTACAGGGCGACTGTCTGCCTGCTGATCCAAACGACCTTAACGACGCCATCGAGCAAGGCCTAAACAATGCCATGCTACACAGCACGACCAACGGGCAGACGCGACCACCCACGGCGGCGACCGACACTGGCAGAAGCGACGAGCCAGGCCGCAACCGTGGCGACATTATCACCCACCTCGTGAACCAGCGCAAGGGCATTCCAAGGGCAGACACGACCAGAAGGCGAACGATCAGCAAAGAAATGCAAAAACACATCCGACAACAAAAGAGCAGCGAAAGGAGACAACATATAAACATTATTCAGGAGCAGCACAGAGACCTCAAACGCATCAGTACCATCAAAACGAGACGAAGCGAACTCTGATCACAGAGATGCATGGGAGCGACGGCACCAAGCACATTACCCGCCACGGGATCGCCAACGTATTCGCGAACTTCGACGAGGAGCTGTACAATTCCACCAGCACCCGCGACACACCACCAACCACGAGCGATATCCAGAGGCACATCCCACCCTTCACGGCCGAAGAGCTCAAAGCAACAATCTCGCAGCTCAAGACTGGCAAATCACACGACGACGTAGGAATCAAGGCCGAAATGCTCAAAAACCCATGCTGGGAACTACAACATGCCTTTAACGGTTGTACAACGCGGTCATCCAGCCAAACGCTCCGACTCCAGCAAGCTGGCAGAAGACGGTGATTACAGTCATTCCCAAATCGGGTGATCTCTCCCTTTCTCCCGCAAAACTACCGCCCAAAATGTATTATACACATGCTCTACAAGCTGTTCAGCCGCCTGCTATGCAACCAGCTTTCACAAGTATTTGATCAACACCCGCCCGACGACCAAGCAGGTTTCCGACCTGGGCGCGGCACGCGCGACCACCTCTTCACACTTAACATCTTGCGGGAACGGGCTTCTGAATGGAACCAGGCTCTGTGGATCGCAACAGTAGACTTCAAAACAACAAATTCGACACAGTGGAACACGACAGCTTATGGGCAGCACTGCGTCACCAGTGCGTGTCGCCCGACTACGTCTACTTACTCCAACGCCTCTACCACGACCAGCACGCCGTGATACGCACCGACTCCACGAGTAAGCCGTTCAAACTACGACGCGGCACGAAGCAAGGAGACCCTCTAAGTTCTTTGCTCTTCAACGCCCTTCTACAGCACGTTCTAGCACCACTCATTCCAGAATGGCAGTGACGACGAAAAGGAATCCAATTGGCGCACGCCAGCCAATCTGTTTTCAACAAACTCCGCTTCGCCGACGACATTCTGCTAGTTAGCCAAACGCTACCCAATCTGAGGACTCTACTAGCAGGCTTGGTCACAGCAGCGAAACCACACGGCCTCGAAACACACCCGACCAAAAAATCATTATCAACCAATGCAAGACCCGGACTCGGTCTACCAGCGTCGCAAACATGGACATTACAATAATGCCTCACACTGGGAAGTTGACATACCACGGCCAGACGGTTACATTCCAAGATACCGCGACGACCGAGATCCAACGCGGGATCCAAGCGGCGTGGGTATGCTTCGCAGTCCACAGACAAGAACTGACGAGCAAGCACTACCAACTCAAACGCAGGCCCAGGCTTTACCGAGGCACCGTCATTCCCACGACATACGGCGCGGAAGCGTGGATCTTGACAGAGCCACTCCGACAACAGCTACGCCGAACTCAACGACGGATGGTTCGGGCGATCATCGGAACTCCGCGAAGGCGCACAAACGTCACCTTACGAACGCACTCCGCACCATCAGCAGACAGCCACAGCAACCCCGTCGCAGACAGCGTCCACCCTGACGACTCCAGCGACCACGACGCATCCAGCACCCCCCCTCTCCATCAGAACAGACCAGCTCACAAGAAGATAACAGTGACGCGCGCCAGACCCACGAGCAGACGACAGACGAAGACGAGCTGTGGTCGGACTTCATCCGCCGGAGCACACGTAGGGCTGAGGCGCTCATGAGCAAGCACGACATCCCCGACGTAGTACAGATACATCGCGCAGAAGTCTGGCGTTGGGCCGCACTCGTTTCAACACATCCGCAGAACCGATGGACACGCCGCGTGTTGAATTGGAACCCTAGCCTCGACGCAAAGCAGCAAGGCCACGGGGACCACGGAGGCCTAAAAAATAGATGGGACGACGACGTGAGGAAGTGTTTGGCAAGCCTGCGCGCGAACACCAGGGACGAAACCACGGACAGCGACACCAACGACGCCATCCATCCACGACGATATCTCCACTGCGACAGTAACGACGTGAGATGGTTGACAGCCGCGACAGACACCACATGGTGGGACTCTCTTGAGAGCGCTTTCATTGCATGCAACAGCTGGGGGCGCAAACTCCCCGACGCCAGTTGCACCAACAATTTTTGCGGACCTCCAGCGCCGACGCCAAGTGGCCACCACCACCGCCGGCGCAACGGCGCCGAATATACGGGAACACCGAGTACACCACCGATGATGATATATGCCGTGGATGGGGCAATTCTGGTGCCAATACGGTGATGGTAAAACGGTGATGGTGATGGTAACCGCTCTGGCCGACACAGACACGGGACCACTGGAGTTCCGAAATGAGACTTCCATCCCTGACGGTTCCAATCAACCCGTTAGCATCGACATTAGCACAGCGACGCCGACAGCGACACCGACGGCAACACCAACAGCAACGCAGCAGCGACACCGGCATACAGCACCGACTGCCGACGACCATCAAAAGGAGCAGCCAAGACACCGACCACGCCGCTTCGATCCTGACCAGGTTCATGAACATCCTACATCCTCTGTCACGCCTTCTGCTTCTCCCGGCTCGCACGCATATCGTTCCTTGCCTGGTTTGTGCATTGGATCTTCAGGAACTTCGTCCACGACGTCTATTCGGACACGATCTGAGGTCACGGCCTCTTGCGCCCTGCCCAAAAGGGCACGGGCACACTTGTGTGCCCGACTCTGGCGCCCTCGCCTCGCCTCGCCTCCTCCTCCTCCTCCTCCTCCTCCTCCTCTCTGTCACGTCTTTAGCCACGCATGCTTGCAAGGCCTGTTCTTGGATTGAGTGCCGAGGGGCCCTATCGCAGGCGCGATCGTTTCTGTTTCACCCTGCTCGCGCGCCGTCTGGCGCAAGGCTTCTGACTGACTTGGCCACTGTGAGTGAGCCGTGGCCCTCGTGGCTTGTTGATAAGGCCCCCTTCGCTTTCTGCCTTCGCGCGTCTCGCATCCACTGCGTCCCTTCGCTCGCTGCGTTCGCTCACTGCCTTCGCTCACTGCCTTCGCTCACTGCCGCCCACTCGGTCGCCCCGCCTCCCCCCCCACCTATTCTTCACGGGATTCCCTGCCCCCGCTATCGTCTTCCCCTAACCCACCCTGCTCCTCCTTCTCGCCCTTCCTCCTCCTCCTTCTCCTCCTCGTGGTTATGATGATGATACTGCTGCTGATGATGATGATGCCGATGATGATGCTTATGCTGATGACGATCATCACCTTCACCCTTCTCGTCCTCTCCAACTTCCTTCACCATCATCACCAACACCATCACCACCACCATCGTCATCATTACCGTTATCATCATCACCATCTCATCACGTTCATCACCATTAGCAACACCATCGTCGTCATCATTACAATCATCACCACCATCATGACCACCATCATCACCCCATCAACATCATCATCACGGGCACCCGCCACTCATCATCATCATCATCATCATCACCATCATCATCATCAGCATCCCCATCATCACCATCATGATCGCCCCACCATCATCATCGTCACCATCACCATCAACATCATCATCATCAGCATCATCACCACCATCACCATCACGATCATCATCATCATCAGCATCATCATCACGATCATCATCAGCCTCATCATCATCATCATCATCATCACCATCACCACGTGGTTTCTCTTGAGCATCGGCCACCCCAGCGGCTAAGAGGTTGGTTGCGTGATTTCTGTTAAAACTCGTGTTTTCCTAGCTATCTCCCTGGCAGTATTCGGTCTGCGGGGACCTCGTCGTCCTTTTCCTCCTCAGCTTCCTCCAGCGCCTTCTCTTCCTCTTCCTTCCTCGAGTGCCTCGTTCTCCGAG